TTAAAGGCAACACTAGAACAGATTTGCAGCACGAAGAAAAGTTTTATATTTTCCACCTTGACCTGTAGTATACACGGGGTCCTCTCAATTCGTTCCACGAAGCTTTTTTTCTCAGTTCGCCCTATCAATACTTCCGTTTTAGTTCGTCCTATATATTTTTTTCTTAATTCGTCCCAGATATCTATGCTCGCGCCTCAAAATAAATAAATTGTTGTAGCATCGAGCAGTTTAGTCGACGGCGATAGTATTGTAGACAATACAAAGTGCATGTACGTGGCAAAATGTGTTGTGTTAGCCACCACTATCACAAATTTAAATTTAAATAAGTGAAATTGGTCTGTTCATCAAAATGTTAGTTTTCACGTCTACTGAAAAAGCGAAACCAGTTTTGAATCATAATAGGTATCAATACACCAAAAAACGAGCAAACAAAACAAATAATCAATGGTGGCGTCGGAATCGAACATGTTCAAGTACAATATCATTATGTACAGGCGATGTGAGAATTTTACGTAATGAATCAGTACACGCATGCATACCAGATACCACCAAAGTCCTCATTGATATTGCTGTTGATAATACGAAAAAACGTGCAAGAGAGGAAACACTACCTATTCCAAAAATATATTCATATATTCAGTCATATATACACAAGAGGTACGGACAATTATATTAAAGCCAATTAAGTGTAAACTGATATGGGACGAACTAAGAAAAAAGCTTCGTGGGACAAATTGAGAAGTCAATCTGGGACGAACTGAGAGTCAACCTTGTACACTCGCCAAAAACTTATTGAACACTTTCGAGAGTGCATGTGCGAGTAAAGTCGAGAAGAAAAATGACAAAAAAAAATTAGTTGCGTATTTGGTGTTATTTATATGGAGATATTTAGAGCAAAAGAATGAATAAAAGTAGAGTCATCAAATCTTATTCATCTCTTAATCAAGGTCTTAAGAAGTAAGGTAGCACTATATGATTCTATTCAATCAAGTCTTACGCCAGGGGATCATGTGGATTGCAGATGACCGTTTCTTAAAGCATTTTGCGGCATGTTTTACTCTCTATTTCTGGTGAATAATTCAGCAGATTGTGATAGGTACCTCGCTGTAACAAAGTTAAGTGATTTCTTCGTTCTGTCAGTGTGGATACGTTCCAATGTTTTTCTTATTATCCATATCATTTTGCTTAGCAGTTTCATGCTGCTTACCTGTACTGTGTAGCTGTACTGTGCTGTCACGGTTTTTTATTCATGCATGAGTAAAGAGAATATCTATTTTTTTTCCCTAGAATGTATTACCTTAGATAAAGGATACAGCATGCATACATTATGTTATTAACGAACTGAAAACGTGCGGATTTGACAATCCAACAGTTAAGCTAGCTAACTTTTCATATCTAATACTAATTTACGAATTCTTTTTGAATTTTTGGACAGATATTTGAAAAAACCGGTTTGCAATTTCACATTGAGATAATAAGGGGACACATTATAAGACCCTCCTGCAAAAAAAGATCCCCTACAATAAAAGACCTCCCTAAATAGAAAACCCTCCCACAACACATCTTGTAAAACTTAAAATAAAAGACCCCTATTTTTCACTTTTTTAATTATAAGCCTTGCACGATAATAGATATTTTCTATTGAAAAGTAAATTCTCTCTTCCTCTGAAGCGCATGGAGAAGAGAGTAAGGGCACACGTGTGATGAGACGATAAAATAGCTAAATCTAACAAAAAACAGCGTTCTTTCGGGACGCAACAGAAGGCCCCTCTAAGAACTTTATTCTTGTAGATAGAATAGAAGACCCAGGCCTTTAATTATGTCACCCCTTTACTGAAAAATTAGTGTGCATAGTTTGAGCAGCTTATTATGTTTTATTAATTAATTAGAATATTCAAATAATATAAAATATAATAAACATTTCGAATGTATCGGCTCATTATCAGTGTATACTAAAATAAGTAGACAACAAGTTAGTGTGAAACGTAAATAAGAAATTCTACTGTTCACTACGGTGTATATAAGTACATATCTATAAGTCGAGAAAAAACTGTGACGAGAGAAAGGAGAAAATTCAGCCATTTTTAACCTTCTGGAAAAACCTATAACGGACTGTTAGGTTTCCCGGTTGAACTAAGATCTTTCTCACCTAACGTTTATTTGCAAATGAAAAAGATATCCTTAACAATAAAATTGACGTATTTATATACGAAATATTGCGCGATAGCTTTGAGTAGACTATATGCTTACGCAATAACCTTAACTTTGATCTTCTCCCTTATGGCACGACTGTAGTGCGTGGCATAACACGGACTTTCGGAAGCCCGTCTAATCTTGCTGGAATTGAGCTCACTAGTCTGATTCTCTGATATTCTTGCTTAGTTAGATAACCGTCCTTCTTAATTTCTCTAGGTAGTATCGTAAGAGAGTTCTCACGTGTGATGGTTGGATCATTCTGTAGACGGCTGAACTTTGTAGTATCACCTAAGATAGTCTCATCCTTCTGGATATAGTCTTTCGGTCTGAGACCACAACACTTCGACCTTCATCTCGTCTCGTTATATAGATTGAGGACTCCTTGCTTAATGCAGACAAAATCTCTTCGTTCTTACACGGCATCGGTGTAGAAGCGTGGGCTCTATTAAGAAATTTCTTCATTACATTTTTTAAGTCAGACGCCAAACTTAATTATTTAGGTTCTAATATGCGAAATTCTGTATTGCACGTGCTATCAGTATCTTCATCCCATTTCGTGCAGTCTGTGAACTCGTTTCGAACTCCTGACGCGTAGTGAAATAAACATTCGATATTCGAGATTATATCACTGGAAAATATAGCCGCATCTGTATGTAACACACATCCTCTTCAAAATTTATTGAGAACCCAGTTTTCCAGGGAATCTCCCGAAAACCGAGCGATAACACTAAAAAATCGGAGCATAAACCTATGTTTTAGAATTCTTTTCCAGAAACAAGCATGGCCACTTTATCCAATGTGGATCACTACGGATGTTTCATGCAATTTTAATATCAGCACACGCCATCAAGCATCAGTTCTGGAGCTCAAAAAAAGCTGCTCAAAACAAACCACTGGAAACCAAGGTCTCTCCCGACCTCCGTTCTGTAGGAAACACATGGGCTATCTACCCGTCGAAAAATTCACTTTATTTATGATTCGATTATCAGTGTTATGGTTCGGTTTTCGGGTGATCCCTTGAAAAACTGGGTTTTCAACAAATTTTGAAAAGTTCGTCTGCTACATACAGATGCGGCGATGTCTTGGCTATCAAATGACGAAAATCGCAGCTCTCTAACTATTATCAGTCAGAAGTTATTTAAAAAGTGGCTTTTGTGAATACAGTGATAAACCGCCTGAAAATCCAATATGTCTAAAAATGGGTTAAAACAACTGCGTATTGGTAACATTCTGGGAAAGCAAGTACGGGGTTTAGTAGTGCTTGAAAATCTCTATCAAATGATATATTTCTTCATGATCTCCAATAAAAGCGGTAACTTAGAAATATAAGTAGGCATCGGAGTGACGCTAATTAGCATTAATTAGCAGTTATTAATTATAATCTAATACCTTAAAAATATAATTTTAATATTTTTTTTATGAACCTACAACCATAGCTCATTGGCTCTCAAACTACACACGAACGACGAGTCTACGATCATGTTTGATCGAACTGCACAGTTTCCAAAAAGGAACTAGCAAATCAGGTTTTAATTGGAATTTAAACTTAATTAATTAATAACACTATTAGTACGTGACCAAATTTTGTATTATTATACAGGCATACCATTGAAGATGTTCTCTACAAATCAGCCATATTTGAGGGTATGTTTCGGTGGAGGACACTCTGCTTAAGGCCTCCCTCCGTGCGAAACCTATCTCTGAAACTGTAAGTCCAATCTTGACCAGACCTTTCGAAGATATTGATCTTGTGAAAGTATAGTAACACAATTTTTTGTGTGGCTCCGTGCATGGTTTGTGAGATGTTGCCACAACAGTGACCAAAATGGGGTTGTTCGTAGCTCATAGATTTCTCAGTAACGAAACGTTGTGGAGAGCTCGAGCTAGTCTTAAACTGATGAAAACACATGTGGCTAGAGGTTGACAGAGCCGAATTTTTGATATTTTTCTTTTCAAATTAATGGTCAGCGTCAAAGGTACAAAAAAAAGTCGAAAAAGTCTCCTTAAGTTTGGTAAAGATGTTTTTCTAATCACAAATCCAGCTTGAAAATCAAAAATCGGGCTCTGTCAGCCTCTCGCCGCATGTGACAGCTTCAATTTAAGACCTTCCCGAGCTCTCTACGATGTTTCGTTACCAAGAAATCGGCGAACTACGAAATTATGTTAAGGCGAAAGTCGCTTTCGAGATATGGGGCGCCAGTATCTGATGCATGTTTCTCCTCGTGGTGGCCTTAAGAGAATGTTACTTGCTTGATAAACTGGAGTCAAATCATTTAGTTTCTATAATGAACGACAGAAATCTGCACATAAGTTTACTTTCTCGAACATTTATACGATTTAGAGCCAACAGATAAGTTAAAATCGATTACTCGACTTTTATTGCACCTTCAAAATTATTTTTGACAAGCGTTTGTTTAGCAAGTAAAGCAAGAATGTACTTAGAATGGTATTTTCCATGTTGATTTAGAAACGGTTGATATGCTTTTATTTAACGTACTGTATTTTTACTCAATACTTGTTGTTGATAGACCTAATCAAATAGATCACCTTCAGTTCTTACAATATGTCTTTCCGATATCTTCTATTGGTAACTAAAATCATTTGAAAGATTAGCACTAGGACTATGAAGACTAACTCAAATGCAAAAATAAAGAATTATTTTGATCTTTTAGAGATTTTTAAATGTTTAAATCTTTTAAAAGGATATTGAAAAATATTATTGAGCACAAAAATAGAATTTATAATTACTTAAAGATTAAACACTGGTCTGTCTTATTACTCTCTCTGATAGTATCCACAGGTTCTTAAAATCTTGTTGTTATCACATCATTTGTTGTATTCACGTTTTTCTCCTTAATATATTTAAACCATATTTGAATTAAATGACATAACATCAATACCACGAGAACTAATGTTATTGCCCAAGCCTTAACAAACCAAAAAAAGTAAATGATAATAAATTACTGAACAACCAAACATGATTCTCTTTAATTACTCTCCATGCCAGATGAATGTCACCACTTAGCAGTATTAAACCATATGTTGTTGAAAGTATAAAACTGCTTACTGTCCACATAACACCAGATAAAGTACCAATATGTTCCGATGGGAAACTGTAACACATAAAAGTGGGATAGTTCCATAGAGCTTCGACCACCAGTACAGTCACCTTCCAGGCAAACTCCAAAATCTATCACAAACGAAACTACGTAAAATTCTGATCAAGAAAATGTTGTTCAAGAAATTGGAAAACATCGGCACAGTGCCCACAACGAGCTCGACATTCTTGATTCTGGGTGATAAACGGGGCCAGTGTCGTTGGTTTTCTTTACAAGAACAAAAAGTTAAGAGCTGAAACGTTTACCAAAAGTACTACTAAATATGATCATTCGAATGACATCTGTAAAAAGCATTTAAAAAGTGTTGACTCTCGGTACAACATACATGGTAAAATCAAAAAAAATATCCCCAAAACGGGTAAACTGAAAGGAATTTTTCAAATATGATAAAAAATAAAGCAAGACTTAGAAATAGCTATTCAAGTTCTATGGAAGAGTATGGTTTTTGCTTTGTACAAACTATTAGGTTTGAGCATGAGTGAATAACTGGAAGTGAGTGAGCAGGTACGATAATTGTGATTATACTCTGACTGAATCTGAACACAAATGGTGGTGATTCAGTGTTGTTGGTATTGATAGAATCGACAACTTTCTCCACTTCCAGCTTCAATACGTGTGAACCATCACTAACCTTCACATGTCCAAAATGAAAAGCGAAACCCTTGGAATTATCCGTTAATATAGCTAAAATCGTTGCTAATCAGAAGAAAATCAAACGAAATATGACGTGATACACTGGGTATTTCTGTTCAACAGTTAGAAAACATTTCCGAAAACTATTTATCCCAGCACCAACAACATTCCTGCTGGTGCAATCTACCGTTCTCCGCTTTTGTCACCTTATATTTACTTTTTCCATTACGCATTGATATTAAACAAGTACTCACGCCTATTGAATAATGATTTTTATGATAATTTGTTGGTATAATGATTTTTCATTTCGAAATCTATTAATGAGCCAAACTTTACATTTTCTAGAGTTGATCTGACAACAGATTCGGAAGCAGAGCGTTGAATTACATATAGCACAATACTTTTTATAACTTTATCCACTGTTTTTTAGTTTTTCTATCACGTACATTTTCCTATACCTACTAGACTACCAATGAAAGTTTTGCGAAAAATACGAATTTCCTAGACCTACAGTACTTAAAAGTGGGAGTTAGAACATTCAAACTTTAGTCACTCTTGCTCAAACCTAATAGTTTGTACAAAGCAAAAACCATACTCTTCCATAGAACTTGAATAGCTATTTCTAAGTCTTGCTTTATTTTTTATCATATTTGAAAAATTCCTTTCAGTTTACCCGTTTTGGGGATATTTTTTTTGATTTTACCATGTATGTTGTACCGAGAGTCAACACTTTTTAAATGCTTTTTACAGATGTCATTCGAATGATCATATTTAGTAGTACTTTTGGTAAACGTTTCAGCTCTTAACTTTTTGTTCTTGTAAAGAAAACCAACGACACTGGCCCCGTTTATCACCCAGAATCAAGAATGTCGAGCTCGTTGTGGGCACTGTGCCGATGTTTTCCAATTTCTTGAACAACATTTTCTTGATCAGAATTTTACGTAGTTTCGTTTGTGATAGATCTCGGAGTTTGCCTAGACGGTAGACTGTAATGGTGGTCGAAGCTCTATGGAATTAGGCATCAAAGGAATGTTGTTATGATATCATCACTTACAAAGTGGCTATGACAGCTTGACCACCACTAACAATTGTTGCTCTGGCCAAACATCTCAAAACCAGTGCAGGAATAACAAATCTGATATTAACAAATAAACAGATAATGCATAATATTATACTTAATATCCATGATATTGTTTGCATTAATGATATGTTTAAAAGTTTTTGTTTATGACCTTAAACAACATCCAATAACTAAATTAATATATTTAGATAGTGTTCATTATATACTTACTACGATCAGCTCTAAATCCAAGCATAAAACCATTAAATGGACAAATTAGAATTGCAAAAATTGATACTAAGTTAAATGCAAATGTGTATTGATTAGCTAAAAATGAGATAACTAAGATCAAGTCAGTGTAGCTCAAAAATATTTTGTGCTCACCTAATTTTATATTTTGATTTGTAATATAAAATACCCACGGATACCATGTAACAGACAGAAAAGTAGATGGAATAAGTAAAATACTTAAAAATAATACAACTAAGATGTATAATGGACTTGTTAAATGTTTCCATAAACCTTTTCGTTTACAAATCATTTTATACCATTTAATTTTATTGGTATCAGGTCCTTTTAAGAAAAACGGTTTATGTACAGCATATCTTCCATACGATCGAAAAATATATTTACGAATTATATCTTTTTGTATTTCTTCTAATCTTGAATCAAATTTGTATGGCAAATTTAATAATGGAAATTTCCAATCCATAAATAAACATGAACTACCGAACATTAATATTCCAAATGTCATCCAGATAAATGATAATGTTTTCAATGTTGATCGTCCACTGTCAATTAGCACCTAACATAAACAAATCAAGTAGCTTCTACTATGTAACACCGTCAAAAGTCGAAAAAACTCTCGCGCCTTATAAAATCTTAGTCGTAGTTCGGTAACTTGCATTTTTGTTATAACAAATTTTATTCACCAGCTGCAATCGGCAACTGTGTAGGCAACAGAGTTCCGTATGGACTGGACGGAACATTTTTTGAGTTCGTGAAATCGAACCGGACTGAACTCGAACTTTAAAGATTGTGGACTGGTCAGGACTCGAAAAAAAATTTGAGATTCACTTGAATTGAGGAAAAACAGGTTGTTTTGAGAACTGGGCTGAACTATTTTGGAGTCCATGAACTGAATGTGTTCGTTTATCAAATTTCATACAGCCGCAAAACATGCACGTTTATTGACACAAATAAGTCCTATTACTTTAACAATTATACTTACTTGGAAAATAGAAAACCACATTGAGCTTGATATGGAAGCCCCAGTGAGCAACGACGATGCAAACGCTCTCGATTTAGAAAAATAAGCGCATGTTGCCTGAGATGTCATCAAAGTTGCTGCACCTGATAAAGATGTAAGTACTGTATGAATAAATAAAAAATAATCTTGCCCTGTGGAATGATAAAAGAATAAAATAAAAGTAAAATTAATTTGAAAATATCGTTTATGATACCATCACCTGGTTTTACCAATGCTAAAGAAAGCCATCCGGTAACATGGAAAATTCTAAATGAATATGAAAACTAATTGATTTTCGAGTTCTAACGACGTTTAAAAATAGAAACAATTTACATTGCTATTAATTTAACAAAACGTGAACCAAAATAATCAATTAAAATTCCTAGAAACACTGCTAAACCACCATAAAAGCATATACCTAATGTTAGTGCAAACTATAAATATACGAATGATAATAATTATTATTGAAATATTTTTAAGGTTTTATTTATTTCTACCTGATATTTTTTTGTTTGCCGATCACAAACTGTCCCTGTTATTGTTGTTAAACAATAATTACCATAGACACCATATTTTGGTAATATTTTAAATAATGCAGAAAAACCTAATATAGTACCACCGATTAAATTTAATTCAAACATAAGCCATACAAGACCAAACCATTTTCGTAACGAATGTGTTTTACAAATAATCATTGTGATCTATGTATACAAACAAATAATTAATAAAGATATCCCAAATTTTAAAATTTATAAAAAGGAACAAAAATGTGTTTAATACAATTAAAAAATTGTAATGGTACTCTTATCGTATTTGTCTCAAATGTACCGCGTAAAATATTGCCTCCTCTAACAAGTGTCCATTATTTGTTGATTTAGTTTTTTCTTTTTCTTTGCATTTGTACTTTTTATCTATATTCCTTTCTAACTCTTTTTTACGCTTAAAAATTGTTAAATTGCACACAACATGTAATGAGTTCTATCTCGATATGTTGTTTAATAAACAAAGTTTAGATTCAGAAAACCTATAGTGGCGAATCACAGAGAAATCATAGTTCTTATACATTTTCAACGGAGTTACAGAATGAAGAAAAGAAGAAAAATCCTAATAAATATGTTATATTAGGTTAACATTCAAGTATTGGACGTTGGTTAAGATAGAAACAATGGAAATCTTAGCATATAAGACTAGTTGATATTCATATTTAGAATTAGAACAGAGTTTATTACAAGGCTAACGTGACCTGTATAGTTGTACATTCTCTGTCTATGAAGTAGGTCTTAAGTTGCAGACTGACCGTTAACGATGTAAAAAGAACAATGACGACCGTTATTGATTCGTTTTTTGCTCTTAAAAATCAGTAGTATATATTTTGGATAGCGCTCTTACTACACGAAGAGGTATCACTAACTCTAGTAAAATCCCTATGAGTTTCCTGACAGGAAACGAGATATATCCTACCAATATCGTAGTAGGATTTCGCTTCAATTTCTTAGGATCCTAACAGAAATCCTACAGAATTCGAAATCAGGTATACCTGAAAGCCATAGGATTTTCTAAGATTCTGTTAGGATCCTAAACAAACTTAAGTGAAATCCCGGTAAGGTCCTAGTATTTTAGGCTCCTGCTTGGAAGTTATTAAGAGTGCCCTCCCGCTCTTTTTTGATAAAACCTCTCATTTTGAACTGAACACAGCCCAATGTAGAAGAAAGTCTGGGCTATAAAATAAGACCGCTCTCAACTCTCCATGATCTTCCTTGAAAAAGTTATGAAGCTTTTAAAGTTTTCCTTCAAAGTCTAAAAGATCTCAATTTTTTAGTTTCGTAAATTTTTCTCTTCTTTCCTATATATTCAGAATCTCTTCTGATTCATAGACTGATAGAAGAAAGTCTGCGCTTCAAAATGAGACGCCTTGCAGAATTTTCCGATGAGTTTTCGAGGAGATATAAGCATCATCGCAAAGACCCTGAAAAACAAAGTCCTATGTACAATATGTGTTTGTCTCACTATGCGTTTTTCTGATAGTCCCTTCAATCCAGTCACATTACGATCCTTTGAAAAAATGATCCGATCGAGCTTAAAATTTTACCACAGATACTTCAGACCCTATCTCAGGCACAAAATTTTTTTTAACGTTTTCAATTTCAACTTTCGGTGTGAGAAGGTTTTTAAGAGCAAAAATCGGTTTTCTATACAGAATTTTTAGTATTTTTTCTAATATCTCGAGAAAGAACGCATATTTTTCCAAAAGGAATATTGTACTTCTGAGATAAGGTCTAAAGTATCTGTGGTAAAAATTTGAGCTCGATCAGACCAGTTTTTGTCGAGGGATCGTAAAGTGACTGGATGAAAATTGGAGTTGTTCAGAAAACCCATAGAAGAACATCAGAACATCAGAAAAGTCTGGGAAAAAATGCCTCGATTTTCTTTCTCGATGTTCTATCTCTGCTGTAAATTTGAGCTCGATCTGACGTATGCTCCGCGTTTGGCAACAAGGTGGAAAAAGAAAGGAGGGGGGTACCCTTAAGTGGATCCTAAATGCTAGAATCCTGTAAGATCCTAGTAGACAATAGACAGGAAGTGCATAGGATTTAATCTAGCGAAGAAGCTATTGCCACCTTTGAAGGATGCCAATCAGCGTTATTGTCAACTCCAGTCATAGTGTTATGTTACAAGGTAACAATAGCTGTAGTTGACACCATTAGAAGGTGGCAATAGCCATTCGGATATATTTTTAGATTGCGTGAATAATGATAACAGATATGTGTAACTCTTTGGTTAACTTACCTAAACATATTGTTCATTTAATACTCTTAATATCTCTATCATTTTAAAGTCATTAACTTTCTACTTTTAATAAAATTTCGTAATAGTTCGTAATAGGTAATAGTTGTTGTATTTAACTACTTTATAATAATCATCATCATCTTTTTGAGATTGTACACTTTTATTATTTCTTTATACCTAGGAAAAAGTGTAAAAAATATATAAACAACATTTAAAAATAATTTGCTCATACTATTCAGAAATTGCCCAATGACCTGGTAGCTAAAATGATCAAGCGATATATTTTTATCTAAAAATGATGAAGAATGAATTGATAATGATGATAATTATATTAATTAATTTCAATTGTATTGTTGTTGTGTATATGTTGTAATAATACAGTTACTCTTTTTTCAAAATCAATACATAATTGTAGATCTGCTCTTACACAAATCGTGTGTAACTGAATATTACTAATTACATTAAAATATCTACCATTAGCATCTTATTATTTGTTGTATATAACGTTGGCTCTAATTGTTTGTGATTGTTTGAATTTTGGTGCTAATCCAATGCCAGTAATGAATTTGTCAATGACCATTATTTGTAGAAATATATCAGAAACATTATTATCATGACTTACAACATATTAATATTACTAGCTGCTTTAACAAAAATTTTGTTTCTAAAACAGGTAGTTTTCGAAAACTGGCGTATGATACACAGGTAAAATCATTTGATTGTTGCCATTTGTACTTATAGAGTTGTCCTAGGACGATATCATAACTACTAGTATACATTAGCTGTTAAATTAGCCACATAAATTGTTGCATTATTATGAACAGCCGAAGTATCAGGAACAATAACGGCATAAAAGAACGTTAACAAATCTGTGATGATCATTATGCAGAAAGAGAAAACATACAGCTAAAAGCAACTCTGTAATTTAAAATATATAAACTATATATATGTAGATCTTATCATTTCCAATCAAAACAATTATCTGTCTAGAAGATTTTGCTTTTTTCTCATTGTTTTTACTGATGTTTCTTTTCATCGCTCTAAAAATAAAAGAGAAAAAAGGTTATTTACTTACACACGCATACCAGTCAACCGTTATTTCTATTCACATAGAGTTGTTTCTATTTTCTCAATAAGTATACTAATTGAGAATAAATTTATAGAACAAGATGAAGAAAAAGAAAATGGCATCAAGTGCTTTTTGGTTATTTGTAACATATGAAAAGTTTAAATATCTTCTAGATGTGAACAACTATCATTTATAGGTCAATTAGATTAGATTTATGCATGACAAATTAAAGAGTAAAAGATGGATGTTTTTGTTAATAAACTATTGAAGAAATACGAATACTTACACAACTGATGCCCAAGCGTCAAAAAAATCTAGTATTGCCCGATTCATCTAGATTACCAGATTTTTACTACTGCGACAGTGGAAATCTAGTAATTTGGTGATTACCAGACTTTTTCTACTTGCAACTATCGATTTATCGCCCCATAATCGATCGATTTAACTATTGCTAGTTGCACATGCAGATGCATCTAGTTAAAAGTCCCTTTTCCCAACTAGTAACCTAGATGGCAACTACTATCTGTTTCAAAATACAAGGTACCCCACCGTTTTTTGAATAACTCGCGATAGAAAAGAGATAGAGACATGCGGTTTTCACCACTGTGTAGCTGACACTTGCAGAAATTAGAAATGGGGAGGTTTCCGAGCAGCCCACCAGTTGCAGGTGGTGTACCACATCAATCTTTCAAAGAGTATCTCCGTACGGACATCTGCAACTGGTGAGCTGCTCGGAAACCTCCATTTTTCCAATTTCTGCAAGTGTCAGCTACACAGTGGTGAAAACCGCATGTCTCTATCTCTTTTCTATCGCGAGTTATTCAAAAAACGGCGGTGTGCCTTGTATTTTGAAACAGATAGTAGTAGTGTATCGCCTGATTATAGACGAAATGTATCTAGATTTTCTATTTAGATGTTTGCTTGGGTATGACAAGGTATCATGCCGAACCCGTGAGATGGTTTGTACGTCTGTTGCTATAAATGATAAGATTTCGAGGTTAACTCTTGCCCCTAGGAAAAAACTTTTTATTTTGTCTCATATAACTACCTACCGAATGTTATTTTTCAAATGATAACGGTGGAAAATCTGAAATAGCGTTCGTAGCATATCTCTTATTTGGTAGTGTCAAATTATCTCAGCGAAGGAATCGTTGCTCGAATCTCAGTTACACTATCCTGTCAAACCAAAAGTAACACATGTTCCACCTTTAGTACTAAAGCAAGTACCATCGACTTAACAATCTACGCTACTGCTCGATTTTGAGCTAAAAGAAAAGCTACAGAACGCAATTCTTTATTCGAGCTTTTTATACGCCATTCGAAAGAGCTTTTAACGCTGATCACGAATATGTGTGCTTCGAGTTTTCAGAACCGATTTTTCATATCGTAAAATCGAAGAAACTCGAAAGACTCCAAAAGTCGAAAAATCCTTCGATTCAGAAAAAGTCAAGTTTTCGGTTTATTATTTTATTTATAATTTTGAAACTATTTGTTTCTTATTCAGCATTAGAAACTGAACTGGATAGATCTCTTAAATCAATTTCAAAGCTAAATCTATCAGGAACGTCGTTACTTGACAATCCTAAGGAGGGAAGACAATTTTTCCAAACCTGTCAACTTTTCAAGTTTCTCCATCCGAACTCAACTTCTATGTAATACAAATATCATATTCGGAATCCGGATCGGAAACTGAGTCGACCGATATGTGGAACGAAAATATAATGATCTCTCTCACTGATCATTCTCTTTGCACCAATTGTACATTCGTACCGCTCATACTCATTCACTCCGTCCATTCACTTTATATCTCTCTCCTATCGTTCATTTCTCTGTTCATATTCATTCACTCACTCTTTGTATGTGTTCAATACCTCTCTCTCATTGTTAATATTTCTATCACTCTCATTTTGTCATCTGCACTATATATATATTCGTTAAACAGCACTTACAGTTCCGTCTATTTTCGAATAAATTCAGTAAAGGCATCGTTTCCTTTACATCTGGCGATCTCGCCTCGGCGAATTTATTGTGAATTCCTGATCGTATATCAGGTTATTATATTTGTGTGGAAGTACTTGTACACCTCGTACCTTAGTACTTGTTTAGCACTGACGTTACTGTCATTAGTGCTACCTTTTCTGCCTTCTCTAGAGCCGTCGTGAATCACTTATCAGGTTATTTATTTATTCAAGCGTGGACAGTTGTACACATGTTTCTCTTAATATTTAGTTATTTATGGCGAAATATTTGAGCGTACTTCGGTGTTTCATTGTTTTTATTACGTAGTTTCATGTATTGAGCGTTCACTCAAATCATTGGTGAACACTTACCGTGTATTCCCAACCCTCTTCACTCTTTTCCTTATTGATCTTCGGTCGAACTGTTTACTTCTCTATTCGAACAATATTCAAAAATCATGAAGAATAAGACTCGTAATCAGCCGGAAAAACCTGCACACTGTCTATGCAGGACAGCGCGTACTGGCCTGGCATGACGAATATCAAAAGTATCTTCTTGCACACATAATCATCTTACTTCCACAAAAACATGGCTGTCTAGTCAATTTCGATCAAGATGATGGAACAGCTCTCATCTCACCCTAACGTCTTTAAAAAGAAAAATTCTCACTACAGAGCGGCAAACGACAGAAAATTAAAAATTTAAGATAAGAGCTTCTTTTTCTGTTATGTCAAAACGATTTAGTAATATTGCGCTGTTCTAGAATTCGATGAACGAGATTCCCAACTTTTGAGACTTGCGACCGTCGCGATTCGGAAATCCCGGGATTTCCGAATTCAAGATTCCTGTCCGGGTGCATGCCTAATTTCAAATGACAAGTTTCAACATTCATAAAACAAAAATAATACGCGTTTTTCAAAGCATAGATGTTCAAATGCATGCGCAGACAACAAAAACGCCTATTGTCTCTCCATACCGTCTGTTATACTAAACGAATGTTTATGAACTGACGATGATTTAAATAAATTCGTTAATTCATCGAAAATAAAACGTTTGGATTACGGGTCTCAAAGAAATATAATACTATTTTCTTAACTTATTCAGTATTCATTGAATTTGGAATCATTAAAAATTTCATTGATAATTTGACTTTTACGACAAACAATTTCAATGATAAAACATTGTGTTTAAAATTACCTGAAAGGATAACGAAGTTAGAAATGACTGAACGTACATTATTTCATACGAAACAAATACAAATAATATGCCAGTTGTTTCCTAATGTAAGACGTATTAGAACTCGTACAATAAGTAAGAGACACTTTGGACAAATGAAGTGGCCACGGTCATTTTTTTATAGCTTTTTAACGCAACAAGATGAAGACCTGTGGCTTCGGGTGTCTTGTAGCTAGGACCCGACAGCATCCTGTGTATGAATCAGTTCTACCAACCAAAGTGTACCTGATCGGTGTTTCAAAGGCAATATTGCCGCTCCGTAACTTTTCATACAAGTCTAATGTTGGAAAATACGCCTAAAATTGGGCAGCATCTGATATATCTGCTAAAACCCAACAGTTCCATCTGAGATCGTGAAAGTAGTCTAAAATATTCTGTTAGAGTAACACCAGGACATAGCAGAGTTGTAACCGGTCTGGAAATACTAGACCGGTCCGGTTCGGCCGGTTTACATTTCAGACCGGTCCGGTCCTGCCAGTCTAAAAATATTTCCAGACCGGTAAAAACCGACGAGTTCATCAAGTTTTTTCAAATAACAACATTGATATTAGGGATAAAATTTGTAGTGTGTAAATGTAATAGTCTATCTCAGGCAGTCATCTGTCGAATGACAAAACGTCACGAATAATTTGAAAATAAATTTGGGAAGAGATTCACTATGTCAAATAACAAAGCCAATTAAGACGAATTTGGGTTAGGAAGCTACGGTATCGGCATATCGAAAGTAAAAAATTAGATTAACATTAAAGGAAAAAGATAAAAGCATATAAACGCCAATACGTGACAATGCTCCGATTGCTAAGATATTTTAAACAATAAATAATATGACTTTGTCTTTGAAAACAAATTGAAAGAATAAAAAGAAAAAAATTACATTTTAAATAAAATTGTCACTGTCTCTTTCCTTTAAAAAGCGTACTAAGCATCCATACATAGTATCTTTCTGATGAAAAATGAATGAATATGCACAACTTTGTGAAACCGGTAAAAACCGGCCGGTCCTACTCACTCAACCGGTCCGGTTACAACTCTGGGACATAGAGCAAACATTTCTGATGAAAATGAGATAACTCCCAGCTCTTAAGAATGTTCTATTTAAGAGTTATGAGAGTTTTGCTGGAAGCCCTAAAACTTGCATCAGATACCGGCGCCACCATATCTCGAAAGCGACTTTCGTCTTAACACCATTTCGTAGTTCCAAGGCTTCTGGTAACGAAGCACCGCAGAGAGCTCGGGAAGGTATTAAATTGAAGCATAAAACAAGGATATATTCAAATCTAAACACCTCCATCAATCGTCGGCATGACATATTGGACGATAGGAAAATGACATGAATACGAAATACCATTTGAAAGCGGAATTTTGTTTCTCTCACTGTAGTTCACTTTCGATTTACTAGATAAATGTTATCATTTTCATTTTAGTACTAGGCAAATTGAAATACGACATGGCTGGAAATAAAACCGCTAGCAATGAAATCCATTCTCTTCTGACATTAAAACAAAAAGAGTATTGTACAGTATTGTCTGAGTAATTTTTTCCATGGATATTTGAAGTGTCCTCTACAAAACTGGATCCAAGTAACATCTCGAAAATCCATGGTTCGAGACCTTTGGACATTTTTCACGAAGCCTTAGGACTCCTCTGCCGTTAGGTTTGGGACTGTTAAAAATGGATGTAAACATAAGTTATCGACTATGCTGAATCTCGTAGCTATGTTAGTTTCAGGATAAACTGCAAGAACCGAGTGAGAACGCCCAAAGCTCCCGAACCACGGATTTTCGGGACGTTGCTTGGTTCCAGTTTTGTAGCGGACACTTCGAATATCCATGAAAAAAATTGACCTATTTCAATGTGCGCTTTTAGAGATCCAAACTGGTTTTCCGAAGACCCGCTGAAAAATCGGCTTCAGGAACTTTTTTAACAACCGCCTTTGGCTGTGAAAGACTAGCTTCAGATGTCCACTTCTGATTATTGAAGACCGCAACGTTCTGTCTTACTCTGTTATTCTCCTTCACAGGATTTTGGAGCCACCGTCGGGATTTTAGCCATATCAGAATTAACCAAGTTTTTCCGAAGAAAGTGAATAAAGTGTAGAGAAAAATCATTTTTTGGGATCCTCTTTAACTTGTCAATCACTTTAACACTGCTTTGACTTTTCTTTCAGAAAATTTTTTTTACAAACGGTACAATGAGTATGCCGTTCACTCACATGGTGAGAAACAGTAGTTATGATTTTGTGACACAAAATCTGATGAATTACCATTCGATAAGCATTATAGTAGTTCTACTTTGATGAGTTATTCAGGTGAACACATGCATAAGATTTATGATCCAGCACATCATCATTAATCTTCAAGGACAGCAGACGTTTGTTGTATCTTATATGAAAACGTAACCAGAAGAAGGATGTCTATGCCCATGTTGGCATGACAACATATATAAGGAAAAGTTTTCACATATTACCACCGTACTTAACAGTCAATTACGTTACCTGTACAGGATGATCACCACTTCAGCTCCTCTGCCAAGCACTTATTAAGTACATCTGTTGCAACAATACCAACAACTACCTCTCCTCATTGGACAGTTCCACGTCTTCTGCAGATGATACATGCTGATTTGGATGGTAAAAGAGAATGAACGAAGTAAATAACTATTACTATAATTTTTTCATAGCCTCGACCTAGTGGGCAACATTTTTCCTGCGGGACATCAACCTTTGTAGACGTAAGCTGTTATTTTTTTCATGAGCTTCAAATAAATAAAGGACACAATTTAATAAGTTACATCCTAGATTTGGTACGTCTACATCTGGACAGCTTAAGGAAGAGGATAGTCCAGTGACTATTATATAATTTACTAATTTGCGCGAGTGTCCCAAGTTACTACAGAGTTTTGTAGGTAGTCGAAGAAACTTTTTTATTTATCCAACTTTTCTCGTATTAAAACAAAAAACAGATGATGAAACTACTATTGTTCTAATTAAAATAATCCAGTGTAATAGGGCCATGTTGCTACACCACACATGTTAACTCCTCGTTTTATTTTAATGAACCCGTTATCACCCCATGTCGGACCCCATGAATTTCTTAATTTCCAATAATCCGTTCCATTTTCTGTTCCATACCCAACAATGACCATCGCATGATTCATATGACAACTTGTACAACATCCTGGAGCTTCGTAGACGCCACTGGCGTAATGGTCAAATTTTCGAGAAACCTCCAAAATTTGTGTATCGTTTGATTTTCGATCACCAGCATTATAATAAACATAGACGGGTCCAAGATCGTATATGACTTGTTTCAGCGTTTCTTCATTTTCTGTTGGCAGTTGTTTATAATTCAGTTTATATGTTGAATTATACGTTAGCAATACACCACCTTGTTTTTGACATGTTTGATTTGCACCATTTGCTCCGTAAGGATAGTCTGTTTCCGAATTTAAACGATACCCATTTTCTCGAATATAACTAAATGTTCCAACATAAGAGCCACCCTCACAGCCGTTTGTTGTCGTTGAACAATCAATTATTTGTTGTGGGCTTAAGCTGTCGGTTGTATTTGGATATAGTTCAGCATAGGTTTTTTCTAATGCAGCANCACAGCCGTTTGTTGTCGTTGAACAATCAATTATTTGTTGTGGGCTTAAGCTGTCGGTTGTATTTGGATATAGTTCAGCATAGGTTTTTTCTAATGCAGCAGCCATTGCAAAAGCATAACAGCTCCCGCAGTGTCGTTGATTCAGAATACCTCTGACAGCACCGGGAACTCTTGTTTGATTTGTCCAATCATATTCTGATGGATAAGTTTTTTTCTGTTTACTCATCATCATCGGTGGTACTGCGATCCGAGGAGCTTCAGTTTGGATTTTTGAACGTAGTTTTGACAATTCATCATCTGTCCAATCAGTAAGATCATTGATTTTCAGCTTAAACGTAGACAATGGGTTGTCGTTATGTTTTAAAATATATTTCACATTTGCTTTAAATGCTTGAATACGTTGTTGTTCTACAGTCAACATTGACCGTCCTTCGGCAGCAAGCGAAACTGGAGCACGTGGATACTGTTGTCTGTACACACCATAAATGTGAGTCCAAAAACCTGGATTTGTATCAAGAACATTTAGTTTATCATCAAAAGTTGCTAATAACTGATCGACGTATTCTTGAATGTCTTTTGCACAATGAATAGAACAAGTGGAAACAAGAACAAGTAGGACTACTAGAATAACCTTCATTTCTAACGACTAATGATGGTAATTGAAAGAAAAAACTTTTGTTGTGGTAAAGCAACATGTTATCTACTTACTAGTATGTATATATTAGAAGTAAAAATACAGGCCGTATGTTCTAGTTCCCATCCTTGTACGTAGTTATTTTCAGCTCCACGAAAAATAAAACAATTTGAATAATTTTATAACAATAGCGAATAATTTTACAATAATAGGGCCCTGATCTAACATGTGCAATAATCGCTTGAATAAATAGAGCGATTGACTTACGTTAGAAAGTATGTCCCAAACTAGCATACCTCTTTTAAATTTGCAGATAAACTTGTTGGCTTACTTTTTGTAATGTATCCAAATGTTGTTTTTATTACATTTTGTATATCTGATAAACGGTTTTCATTACAAATTTGACACTTTGGACTATGACAATATTCTACTAATAGCGAGAAAAATGAATCCGAAAAATTGCGCAAGACCTCGTTTCCTTTTTCACATTGTCACTTAATAGAGAAGAAAAAGAAAATGCAATCAGCAAGGCGAATTACAAGGCCAGTGTAATGCTCGCAGGCAGTTCGTTGAAACACAAACTGAAATTGTAGTAGCACACATTCTGATATTGAAAAATAATATACGAAGTGTCACAGGAAGAGTCGGACGTTTGTCTCATTTTGTCAGATTCGACACGCACTGAAGAGGTCTGCGAAGATCATAAAAAACCGTGTATAGATCTAAGCTGAGTATCGTTTATATTGATATTTCCAGTACTCACAACACGTTAACAATTATTCTGAAGAGACTGCTTCCTCATGGTAGAAATTCTTGCGATAAATCTCATTTTTATTATAGAATATTTCTTTCATTGGATTAATGAGTTATTTCTTTTACCACAAGAAGCAAGAGCAGTTGCGTGAACAATTGTATGAATCTAAAATGGAATCAGAAGACAACCTGAAACAAATAATTGAACGGGTATGTTCGAATTTCGGTTTAGAGAGAAGAATGTTGTATATTTAATATTGTGGCAAATAGTCCTAACAGGATTTTGGGACTCTGCGGGTCTTGACCTTTCTAAATGTTAAAGAGCAACCAGCTTTCTCAAATGAACTGTCGAGACAACCAGAGACCTGAAATGAGCCGTAAGTGGAGATAAATTGACCATCTTTTTGCTTTCTCTTTAGCTGGAAAAGATTGAGCAAAAGCCGAGTGAATTAGCTAGCGAACGTTTAAGTTTACTTTAACAACTACAACATTTATAAGAAGAAAATGAATTATGATAAAATTACATTAATCGATCACGGTATCATTCATGATCAAATTGATGATCCAAACGTCATTGTCACTTTGATTAACTGAGCTTATCCGAAACACTGTGCCCAGTGTGAATAAAATTTCTTCTTCTTTGAACCGTGAAAGATCTGTAAGACTTGCGTATGAATCATCTATAGCACTATTCGTATCAATTTTTATCTCAAACAGGACNATAAGAAGAAAATGAATTATGATAAAATTACATTAATCGATCACGGTATCATTCATGATCAAATTGATGATCCAAACGTCATTGTCACTTTGATTAACTGAGCTTATCCGAAACACTGTGCCCAGTGTGAATAAAATTTCTTCTTCTTTGAACCGTGAAAGATCTGTAAGACTTGCGTATGAATCATCTATAGCACTATTCGTATCAATTTTTATCTCAAACAGGACGGCTCTATTCCTATATTGTTCACAGCGATTATTTGCATATGCAAAAGCAATATCTCGCTTTTTTGTACACGAGGTAAATGTATTCATTGACATCATCCCACCTATATTACTCCAAAGCTTTCGCAATTCTGCTATTGACATGCCTTGTCCACGGAATACAGTAATACTGTCGCCGATTCTGTCAACTACTTGTAGGTTATGCAACGCCTGCAATTGTTTGCATAAATCATTATGAATACCGAAATTTCGCTATTTCTTTAGTGTCTTGAGAACGGAGTACCTCATTAACAATATGAAACATAAATGATTCAGAAGTATACCACTGAATAGCTTGATCTGGCTTGTAGGTAGCTTCAAACTGATAAATCCTTCGTCGCTGCACCGCATTATCACGATAGCATCGACGACACTCAAGCAACATGTCCTGTTTATAAGTCCATGTATTATTCATATGCGTCATGATTTTCTTAAACTGTTGAGCCCATAAAAATGGAACTAATTCCATATCGACGATAGATGTGGATCTCCAGTTCTGACTTAGTGTGTACGCCGGAACCGATAGAGGGCGGCTTAAGGTAGAAGTCAGTAATCCCACTTCTTTCGAAACTTCGTTGTCCACAATTAGCTGCACGTGTCATACAGGTGTTAATAGTGGTTCAACAGATACAATTCGACAAACAGTACCCACTGCAAACAGAATTTCACATTCACTCGAACGATTGCTGAATTTCCCAATATTGGCAAATGGCCTCGAGACAACCGTCGTATCAACAATTATTTCAAATAGAACCGACTCGACTAATGGTCGCTGACAACCATTACCTGCGTGCAGTAGTGCCACCTGACAGGAAGTACTCGTTGAAAGAAACGTATTCATCCAGACCCATTCTTTTTTAATTGGTGCAGCTGATCCATTGTCATCTGCTGACTACGATAGACGGTGATTACTTTCGAGTCGGATGAAATGGAGTGCACGAAGACATAATGCAGCTGCTGCAGTTTGTGATATAAATGTCTGATAAAATATCGGAACCTAACTATGCTCTCAATGCTTTCACGTCAAAATGTACTGTTCATTAGTCGATAATGAAAGAAATCTCTTGTCCACCACTTGATAGCAGCCTCTGACTGATAGTGTTTATCGAAATCGTCAATTTGTTCTAGACAGACTTTGTCTTGGATGTGATAGTCTCGAACAAAATTCACTATTTCAGCTCTGTCAGCTAGAGTTTGAGGTGTACGAAGAACAAGATCGATGAAGACATGAAACGACACAAATATTGAACCTCTCTTTTCTACTATTTAAATATTGTTCTCGGGTAGCGGCTCATTCAAACGTTTATAAGAAAGAGGGCAGTTTTCATCACCATCATGGAAGCTTTCGGCGATCTTGACGGTGCGACGTAGTCGGCTGACGAATTGATTTTCACTACCTGAGGTAACCTGAACACTCAGCATCATCTGCACTGCATCATCAGCTGTTGTTTCCATCTTCTTGTTCACAACCACTGATTATAAAATCTATCAAACAAAAGGATGTGACACCTGAGAATATTACAAGAATTTTTGAGCGATAAACTTAAAAAATGGTTGAGAAGAGTTTAATATAACACAAAACTCGAAAAACTCTGATCTACAAAATAGCCATTCTAGTTAGAGTGCAGCCACACTTTAATTGAATGTGTTCTGTGTTAAACAGTCATACACTGGAAAAACTATAAGTAGACAAAGTCTCGGTAGCTCAGTGGTAGAGTTTGTGACCTGTAACCACACTGTCCTGGGTTCGATTCCCGGTTCGGACAAGTGAAACTAGAATTACTTATGAGGTTACCAATTACGAAACCAGGTTACCAGTTAGGCATGCACCGGTTTTGGTAAAAAATCGATAAACTGATATCGGTATGCAAAACCGAGAAAAGTTCGGTAATACTACAAAATTTTTCATTCAAAGGGGGTGTGAGCCCCCTTGGTACTGATTTTTTATGCCCAAATTGTAGAGCAAATACAACTACATGTATCCTAAAAGTTCTCGGCAGACGGATGTGTTCTGACAGAGAAATAGCTATTATAAGTCATACGAGCGCCTAAGGCACCTATCGGTCTGAACTTTCGGAAAATTAACGGGTAACGATTTATGACTGATATTTGCGTAGTTCGATAAAGTATCGAAAATTCTCCATAGCTTCAAATTTTCTCTGTGATTGGACAAGTACTTGCAGAGAAACATAGACTTTCCTAAAAAGTACTTTCTTAAAACCTTGCAGATACATAATCCATTATAAGAAAAAAAGTGTTGTTACAGAAAGATGCGCCGTCAAATTCTGCGTAGAGTAAGCGGAATAGAATTTTATTTTCAAAAAAAAATCGACTTTCTGTACATGTTCTCTAAGCAAAAAACGAGAAAAAAGGATTTCTACTTGCTTGTGCTCGTTCTTTACACTATTTTTGCCTAAAAGATAAATTTCAATTTATGTTGCATATCATTCGATAGCGGCTTCAATAAGCTTCAAAACTACTTAACTAATTATTCATGGTCCGACGAAACAAACTGTGACAGGTTTTATGAGCTTAATACCAGACTTTTCCATAAGTGGTGGGTACACTAAGAGAACTCATGATCACATTTTTCTGTGAAACTAACGATGATTTCTAATGATTTATATATCGTTCGATGCGCCGTGAAAAGCTCTACAATATTTGTTAATAGGAGACTTAACGAAGCTTGGCAGCGGTGTTTGGGTATAAATACTGCGCCCCATAAACCTAGACTGGCTCCCAAAATTGTTCACTGCCTTTATTTTTCACTTTGTCCGTCGACCATACTAGGTAGAAAAAATTTGAAAAACGTTTTGAACAGCTGAAAGAATTTGGAATCTGATGTGCTATATAGCACCGTTCTCTCAAAGCTCTCGAAATCAGAATCTCTAGAACATCAAAACCCAGAAAACGATGTTCCAGACTTCGATCTGGAAATTCGTTGCAAAAACGTCTATGGTGTAGAGCAAACATTTCTGATGGATATGAGACGTCTCCAAGCTCTTTATGACATTTTGTCTTCAGACAACATGCAATTTTCAGAAGGCCCTAAGCGCATTTTCCTATTAGTTTTGTTGGTATGCGACGTTCCCTAAATTGAATGCTGTTTCGTAACAAGCTAGTGTTTCTTTTTCTTTAATATTACTTTCCTGTGCTGAGAAAACCAGTTTTTCAGAATAACCAAAATCTTCTTTTAATGCAGCATGATCCCGCAGATTTCTGCTTAAAATGAGACATCGTCTAGCTCTACACGACCTTACTTTGCAAAGTTATATATTTTACAAAAGAAGCCCTAGCTGTTCATTGACAGCTCAAAGCTACAGAAACAAGAAATAAATTTGAGGCTTTTTTTGTAAATTCTATAACTTTGCAAAGTAAGGTCGTGTACGGCTAGGAGATGTCTCATTTTAAGCAGAAATTTGTGGGCTACAATCATGCTACATCAAAAGAAGATTTTGGTTATTCTGAAAAACTGATTTTTCAGAAAACCGGGTTTTCTAAGCACAGGAAAGTAATATTTAAAAAAACGAAACATTAGTTTGTTGCGAGCGAAATGGGGATTCAAATGGCGTAAGAATGAAGGCGCTATGTCTTGATCGAAAAAACTAGATAGATTTGCAAAATTCAGTAGCGCCAACGAAGTAATTCAGTCTTATGTGTTTCCATAACGACTATGTTATATGCAATCGGGCTTTAGACCACATGTACAGATTCATTCTTACATGCGGAATCTGAAAATCACATTGGTAGGATGGAAAAGTGAAATGGCGAGGAGAAAAATGCAGTTTTCTCAAACCTAATGTTTTTGGCGTTTTTGAGAAGTTAGCAGTATTTTGCGCTGTTCTCTCGGAAAAATCGATGAAACTGAAAAATCAAGATCAGATTCAGGATCACCAGATAATACTACATCTAGTGATGTGCTTTTAAGTCAAAAATAAAATTTGCTCCACCTTCGAATTACCGGCGTCTTACCGAAAACGGATTATGAATTACATATTAGTTTTTCTGATGTGCAATGAAAAGGCGAAAAAGAAAAATATTTTTCTTTTCTTTAACGTAAAGAAAAAAACAGAAAAGATGGATATCAATCCTTTTTTTTCTTCATTGAAAAAGTTTCTTGAAAAAAGTAGTATTCCTGTTTTAGTACCGAAAACGTTCTCTGCAAGTGTTTGTCCAATCATCGAGAAAATTTGAGGCTATGGAGAATTTTCGATACTTTATCGAACTACGCAAAAATCAGTCATAAATCACTACGCGTTAATTTTTCGAAAGCTCAGACCGCCGTTAGAATAGTATATTGAATGGACATTAAAACCATCAAGAAGTGCCCTGAGGCGCGCTATTCATTGGTTACGTGTTTTAGGATCACTGGGAGAACACCACAATAATACATTCCAATCTTTCATATCATTTGTTCCCCTCTAAACGCAAAGTGAATAAAGCTGAAATTAAAATCTATCAACTGGAAAAAGTTGCTATTTCCAGTACTCACTAGGTCAGAGTACGAAAATATATAGATGTTGAAAAATTTCAAAACTAAAACATATACATTCTTCGTGAAAGTCCGTCATGAAAATTGCGTATTTTGTTTTTTTCCATTCAGATAAAGAGCTGAACTGGTAAACAAGTCACATAGACCAATAAACGCGCTACGCGAGCCGATGAGCGGCAGGATAGAAATGAACCTTAAACTTCGAACTTCTCTCTGAAATAAAGGACTGTCGTTTGACATGTTATAGAAAAATGTTCGCTAATGCTTGGGCTTTCAGAATATGTCTTTAGTTTGGTTTAGGTGCTAAGATCAAATAAAAAACGAGCGGAATATGGACCGTGATGGGATTTCGTTCGTAACGGAACTCCATATTACTAGTGTAGAAGGTTAGAACAATTTTTGAAGTTCTTCTCCTAGATTCGGTCTGCCGATACACTGCACTTCTCCAACTACGTATTTTCCCATCGCACTAAATTGTGCAAAAGGAAACTACGAGTTATGGCAATACACTCGTATGAAGACCGTATACTTACGTATATATTTAAATAGTTTTTACAAGTAATCGCTCACATGTTACTAGCTAAACTATATATAAATGTCGACCTTATTTTAACGTCGACACAAAGTGTACGACGGGTCCTTTACTAGCAATGCTAATGATAAGAGACCAAAGATGATGTTGTAGAGCGCAAGGGGACCCATCACACTATTGAATCTGCCAACGCAAACTAGCTGGAACGCTTGGATTTTTTTCCTGCAGTAATCCTATTAACACTAAATCCCTGAAAAGCTTTGGTCTGACATATGAACTTTGAGCTGAATTATAATTATTTTAAATTTATTAATTAAGTTAGTGTCTTAATATCTGAGTTAACTAGTATGGCCACAATTGCGTAACGCTATTCTACTCTGTTAACTTATTAGAAAATTTAAAGAAAGTTATAAAATACAAAATTTGCCAAGCATTTATTGGTTACTATCTTTAAGCATAAATGGTAAAAACTTTGGATTTAATTCCAAATCATTCTCAATAACATACAAAATTTGTACTGAACAATATTGGTGAATAGCTGTAATTATTTGCAGATTTATATTTTCTATAACTGTTCCATGAAGATCAAAAATAACACAGAGTTGATCGATATTATTCAATTCCATTGAACCGAATATTGTATCAATACAAGCCATTACCCAAATTAATAGCTGATGAACTAACAATTTGAATTAATAATCGGTCGTTTTTGATACAAAGTATGCCAGCTAATATATTAAAACTTATTGTGAAGAAACAGACAAAAGCACCATGTCAATGAGAAAATATTAAAATACTGGCGCCAGAAAGATTAAAACTCTATTGACAAATTACATCTGGAATTTTGACTAAGAATTGGTTATAATCCTAGTGTTTTGAATCCTGTCAGACTTATTACGGAAACTACATCTGAGTAAACAGAATATCACAGTATGCTCTATTTTATCTGCGCTATATGGTGCAGTTCAATAAACATTTTACAAATCACATAGATTGCTTTGGTTTTTGAAAAGGTTTTCTAGAACCTTCCAAAGTAAGAGACTACTTTTAATTGATCTTAAGTAAAGGATCACAGTCAGCAGATAAAATAGCGTATACTGTAATATTCGGACTAGATTCCTATCGATTTTAACTGAGTTATTAACTTTTTAATTTTATGCGAAATTAAGCACTAACGAGTTATTTCATCTAATATAGGTTTTCACTAGGTCTCAAACTCTTATTCCGAAAACTAATATTGTCATGAGATTCAGCGTAATCGATAACCGATGTTTACATCTATTCTGAAGATTCCGGACTTAAAAACCACCAAATTTGGGTGTCTCCGGAGAATTAGTGTGCCTGAACGATATAGACCAACGGAACTTTTCGGATGTTGAATAGTATTTCTAATGTCAGAATATCCACTGACATATTCTTCCAAAAACATTATATACGATTTTGTAGCCCGTAAAATTCTCCATCGAACGACATATAAAGTCGAGTGGTTAAGGACAAATTAAATGGATGGTACAAACATCAGTGAGGTTGACCTACCGGTTTTCTGAGATGTTACCGAGTATTGCAGACATTAGACCACCCAGTTACATTTTCATAAGACTCTTTTATATATCAGTGATGTTGAAAAAAATATGCGGATAGTATCGATAGTTATGATTTTGATGGGAGATTCAATTTTGGTTTGATAGGACAAGAGGTCCTTGTGTTTTCTCCGTTTTCTGAAATAAAGATTAAACAATCTCGCTAACGTAATAGAATAACGACTAATCGGAATAGGGAAATAGAGGAACAAGGAATAGTGGATTTAATGAACAGCAGAATTACGGAGTAGAGGAATGACAACCGACTAACCGGATTGCATTTTGCTATGCCCTAAGAAAAAAGCTTTTTGAGTGATACTGTTTGGACCAAAGTATTATGCGTAACGAACAACTTGACTTAAAAACTACGGACTGATTTTTTTCTTTATTCAACGTTTTTCCTGTTATATGTATTAATTGAACACTGATCTCTCTTAATTGATGAACAGTTATGTATAATTAATGAAGTGCTAAATTTATATAACTTAGTGTCTAAAATAATGCTAATATGTCCTGCCATACATTGTTTTATTTGGAAAACAATATTTTTTTTGCACCATAGAACGAAGAGTATTAAACTGATAAAGATTCCATCCGTATATTAAACTGTTATTTAACAAATTTTCAAAGAAAATTTAATTTTTCGTCAAAATCTTCATTCAGCTTATGAATAAGAAAAATAATATCCAGGTTGAGCTTACTCCTAACAAAGTAAATTGTGTCACATAAAGAGTACCTGTTTCGAGTATCAGTCTTCACGGAAAGATTTATTTCAATTCTTCATTTGATCCTCAAGGTGGACGATTAGAGTTATTTCGTTAGTATATCAGAATGTCGAGTTATCTTGCCCATAAGATGAACGAACATTTCGATGAACAGGTACGATTGTTCTTTTCTTATTTAATTCTACCGTATATTCATTTGCGGATATATAAAAACTATATCACAATTGAGAAGGTAATACCTTCTCAATTGCCTTGCCCAATACCTTCAAGGTATGCATCATTTTTAAAAATCATGCGGTTCTGTTCACACTCTTTCTTCTGTTCAAGCTGCTTATGTAACGTCGTTGTCTATTACGAAAAAGGAGTCAACAATCTACTTTTTGTACCTCGCGAGAGGTACTACTACTCTACTTTACTACTTGTGTACAAATGATTTCTACACAAGTAGCAATACAAATGAATTCTGCACATAAGCACGAGTACGATAGTATAAATACTGATTCAAATAAGATACCTACAAATAGGTATAAATACTGATTTGAATACTGATAAATTGATTGCAATACTTGCACTAAGTATGATACCTGCTATTATCGTACAAAACCTAACACATAACGGTGCACTGTCATCTTTATTTGATACCATTTGTCCAATTTCTTCATAAGAAGTCTGTTCACCATCAACATAATTATGTACAATGAACTGATTAATGTATACCGAAAACTGAAATCTTTCAGTTGGTGGTGAAGGTGCTGCCGTTGTTTTATCCTCTTCTGTTATTTTCTTTTGCAGCTCATGTTCCTCGACAGTTTCAGGTAATGTTGAGATCATAATTGGTGGTTGGGCTCTACAGAATGAACAGAAATGAATGCGGGCCAACATTACTTGTGACATTCTTGGCGCAAAGTTTTGACAATCTCTTATCACCAAGAAAGTGAATGCAAAGTCTGAAGAGAAAATGAAAAAAATTTTACAGCTAACTACACTTTTTTCGATGAAACGTCCCCAAGGGGGAGAAATCCAAAGAGAAAAACTTGTAGGCGGTTCAAACAAAACAGGTGTATTTATTGCTGTAATTTACTGAAAAGCATTGTGGAAAAAAGAGAGTTGGGCGATGAAGCAGTAAAACTTTAAAGTACACTCCTCTTACCAGATTAAATAAGCATTCCTTGTCTTTGTTGCTGAGTATATAAGCACTATTATCTCCAAAAAGAAAGAAACAGATATAATAGGGCGTTTCACATTTTAACTAGTATTAATTACGATGCTCTGCTCCGAGGACAAATTTTTTATTATTTCTGTTTCTGTTTATCTACAAAACTTCAAGTTCATTTAAGCAAACAATTTTCTCTTTTTCTGCTGTTACCCGCGTAGATAATCATCATACAGAACAAGAAAGAAAACACACTACATTGATTTTTTGAATCATTTGATGATCCACTGAATTGAAACTTTTTTAGCTAATGGAGTATCTAAATAATGTTGGTTAGCGAGTTAGATCGGCTTCGACCCAATATCATGATACAAACTCGACGTATCGGATCACATTTTTCTGATATAAAAATCTGGTGCAAAAATAGTTACATCTAGCAATAAATCGCCCGCTCATCGAGTAACAAGTGTCCATTCTTTATAAGAATAATTAGGCCCAACCATAACAGATATGACATTTTTCACAAAACCGCATAGCCAGACGCACATTTTAAAAAGACGTAAACTGAATATATTATGAAGAGGAAAGAAACTGTGGTGAAATCACGATATATCTGTCCATGTCAATTATTTAAGCAATAGTTTTCTTACTCAGGAGCAAATGCAGTGACAATCTTTCAGGTCGCGAAATTATATGAGTTCTTTATTGTAAACACAAAATGACACGAATTCTTATTCTTTTCTATATTTATTCTCATCTTTTCCACTTTTATCTAACATATTCCATGCATGCTGTATTGCAACAGTCATTGCACCTGTACCAGACATTTGCAATGGCACACTCAATTGTTCGTGTTTCCCAATTTTTGTATTTTCTTCTTTCTTATCATCTTCAACATCATTATCCTTATTTGCAATTGTTGACACATAAATATTCCAAAACATGCCAGCAAATGTGCCGAGAAATGGACGATAATTCAATGGTATGTAACGAAAGTTAATAAATGAGACGAATGGCCAATAACAATTACCTAATAGAAATGTCTGTGGCATATGATGTACTATTTTTAATTTTATTTCTTCAAAAGATTGTCCTTTCAATAGCCCTATTGATGTGAATGCTAAACTAATACCAACAGGACCCATTAGTGTATTGGTTAACATTTTCTTGGCAATCTGAATGCCTTGTTTACCTGAATTTAGAGATTAAGATGAATTATGGCGAACTATAGAGGAACAAGGGCAGTGATCTTGGACGTCTGTCTGATGCCTGAAACATTTACACTGGTTTTCAGACATTCTCAAAAATGTAGAACTCAATCAAAAGAAACGACTAAAAAGCATGCAAGAAAGGTAGGTTTCTGTGCAATTTCCGTTTGAAAAGAAAGCGTTTATTTAACTCCCTCTGAAGTTTACCTGGAAATAAACGTTCCACGGTTCTAGCTAATGTAAATGAATATGGTGTTGATACGAGTACAGCTGATGTACACATAATCAATGTACGCTGTGAATTCCACCATTCTAGTCCTGAAGCATTATCAGATCCTTTGTCTTTTTGTGCAGTTGTTTTATGTCTTTCTAAATATTGACACATGAGATCACCGGCTGTTACACTTGTACCAATCGCTAGTGTAGTAAATATATAAGGTTTAATTAATGTACGCCATCCTAGACACAAATTTCAAGTTCAAATTAACTTTGACTAAACTAAAAACATTAAATTATTACCTTTCTCAGTTAATTTAGCAGAGGCAGCTGGCCATAACCTCATCAAAATAGTTGTTGCGAACAAACAGAAAATAAACGAAGAAGAATGAACGAAAATATCGTGCCTAATGTCATTTAACACGATTATGATAGACTATGAATATAGAAAGAAAGAGATAGAAAAAGAGAATGTGGATAAAAACATTGATGAATAGGCATCTAGCAAATAAGGAGGTATCTTTTTTCGCATTTGCACATCTTTCTGTTTTCTTTCTTTTCTGTCGTCCCGCTGAGTGGAAAAAATGTCCACACATGAAATATCTCATGTGGAAAAAGATATCTCCTTATTTACTAGGTTTCTATTATGTGTAGACATTGTCATACAAGTGGAAAAATCAGTTCAGCGTTATTTTCATGCGCCGTTTTATTCCCGCAACCTTTTTTAGATGATGCGCCGAAAAAGTTATAAACATGACTCTGCTTGATTATTTTCCTATTTAGATGGATCTAAGATTTCTACTCACGTTTCTCACGCGCGAGTCGTAATTGGCTTAAATTCAAATACATTCAATCCACCTGGCACAGTAGCCGATCTTGCTGCTGTTGTAGCTGCAGCAAGGAAAGATCAAATATACCACAGTTATACTACTTCTAATGGCGTTACTCGATTTACCGTTGCCGTGCCTTTTCAACAACAGAACAAAAAAAGAGTATTTTTTTCGTCATCATTAGCGGTGTCAACCCAGTTGAATTTAGTGCAAGCTACAATGTTCGCATCGAGCAGAGTAATGCAGTTTGTTTATAATTTTTATGAACTATTAAACAACGAAACTGTAAATAAGCTTACTTATTATGTCCGCTCTTCTATATCAGGAGCATATATACGTGCATTAACCACCATAAGGGATAAAAACGGAAATTTAGCCACCGGAACAATATTAACGGATCCAAGTGTATTGTATTCCCTAAATCAAAATAAAACATTTACAGGAGTTACCAAACTATATGGCATATCATATCAAGTTATATATAAACCAACTACTTATTACGGTCGAAAGATTGTGGTTGCTTGTTTGCTACCGGGTTCTTGAATGAAATTCGTATCTATGGATAAAGTATTGCTTTTGTGATATTAGACGTCCTGCTCTATTTGTGTAGACATGATACATTTCTTATACTCTTGCCATTTTTCTCTTTATGGATATTTTCGCAACTAAACATCAGGCTGAGTCTTTTATCACTAGAGTGCCTGGACGCCCGTATGGATCTTTAATTTAGAAGCAACATGAAGATATAACATACCACTTGTGATAGAGAAAAAATGTAATTGTGTCGTCATATAAACAATAAGTTCGTATAGCAAAACCTTATTTCTTGTTTTGCAACCTTAGGAACGTTTACTGCAACTTTAAGATCTGCGGTTTTCGCCAAAATTCGTGAAACTGTTTGCTCCAAAGCAGCCCTTACTATGGAAGAAATCTGGAATGGGCGCTGGACATCTAGTCATGATGGCAAAATGGAACAGTGAATGGCTCGATGCCGCTAAACGGGCTCTTAAATGCCGATTTGTGACCCGCTTCTTTTGTCATTTTGAAATGGCGAAAAAACTGTCCCAAAACGAACATTTGAAAGATTAAAAACTAGCCATTTTTTGGAAATAAGCAAATTTTTCATACTAGTTGTTTTTCTAAAATTCTGATTCTCCACATAAAAAACTGATTTCCAAAATTTTAAAGTTGAAACTGACTGCCCATCTCAGATTTCTTCCATAGTTAGGACTGCTTTAGACAAAACAGTTTCATGAATTTTAAAGTTGCTGCGTCACTGACGAGGGAACCTCTCGAGGTGATTAAAAGCTTTTCGACTCAGACTATTTTCATCATGTAGGGAATAGTCAGTAGTGAAAAACCCCAAGTTGATTTGGGCCCATGCGCCTTTTTGACGGAGATATGAGTTAATTAATGAAAATGCTTTTAATAATAATTAATTAATAGCTCACGATCATGATCAGCTAGGAGTCGGAAATTTACACCACAGTTGAAGATAAATGTTGTCTACTCACTGCGACACTTTTAGGCTTTTAAACCAAAGCTTTTGCAAGATATGAATTTTTTATGATTTAGACAGTTTTTAGTGAAAATTCACCATTGAGAACCTAAAAACTTGTTACCATCTTTTAAATACCTCTGTTCACGCTGCAGAAGCTCAGCGGCTCTTAGGAACCTATATCTAAATGAAATAAGTCTTTCCTGAGTCGGCAGAGGTATCTAAAAAGTGATAACAAGTTTTTAGGTTTTCATTTTCTCCCGAAAATGGGGCGAATTTCTCGTTCCCTAAGATATTGTTGGAGTACACCAAGTGTACTATCGTGGTGAGATTTTTCGCATCTTTTAAAATCCCAGTCAGAAAACAGGGTGAGGTTTTTAGAAAACCAGATAAAGAAATTTTTCAATCGAATTTGGAATTTTCACATCAGGCATTTGATGGAGCATATCAAGTTACACATGTCAAGCTATTTATAACTATTCGATTAGTTTTTATGGAAGCAGAAACTTTTAGTTTATGTATTTATTGCTTATGGCGTACATATATATATATATATATACGTGCATGGTAATACTCTAGTGTTTGTACTTTGTTCTCTAGGAGATTTTAAAAGATGCAAAAAATCCGCGTTATCTACTACAAAAGAGCATGTCTGAAACGCACGGTTATGTGAATTTGTAGTAGACATTAACTAGTGGTTATGATAGAATTCTGAAATCTAAGTAATGCATCGTTATAGAGTTGTACGTAGTTTAAATTGACAGTTTCCTTAGATGCCGGAATTTGTGCATTTTCGGGCTCGTTGAAAAAATTGAATATCTCAGTGACGCAGCAACTTTAGGATCTGCGGTTTTCGCCAAAATTCATGAAACTGTTTGCTCTAAAGCAGCCCTTACTATGGAAGAAATCTGAGATGGGCGATGGGAGCACGTTGGGTCATGGCTTATTTTAAAGCTGATCTAGTCATGATGGCAAAATAAAATAGTGAATGGCCCGATGCCTCTAAACTGGCTCTTAAATGACAATTTGTGACCCGCTTCTTTTGTCATTTTGAAATGGCGAAAAAACTGTCCCAAAACGAACATTTAACAGGGACATTTAGTTGGTATTAATTAACAGTCTACTAAATGGACGAAAACGTAATTTAATGGTGTCCGTAAAATGCCATTTTTTCGCACATTAACTATAATCTGGCATTGTTTTCATCATTATTCAAAGTCAAAAGAAATCATTATAATGACCGTTAAATGCAATTTTCATTCGATATTTACATAATTAACAGGTCATTTTTTGACACACCGTTAGCAGCAATCCTGTTAACGGACAATCAAATGCCATTTTTCGTCGACGTCGGTAGCTAATGGCTACATGAATAAGACTGAGAATTTCCTCAGTGGTCCGCCTTCTAAAGTACTTTTCGACAAATTTATAGGTCTTTTGAGGAAAAGTTTAATACATTTCGAAAGACGAAAAGCTAACGAACTTTTGCGATTTACAGATAAACGTCGTAGCGGTCCTCGGTAACACAACAGGACCAAGATCGTGTAATGTCTGGTTCTAAACGAGTTGTGCAGGCTTTACGCAATGGTGTAGAACTGCCGGTCGAAAATAATGATTTTTACGATAGTGACACTTACCATCACAACATTATTGTGCAATTATTCTTTTCACGGTCTAGTGACAATCAGTAAAGATTACAGAAACTAATTGGTTGCAAAGGTGTGGTCTTGATTTATACAGAATATAGATGCGCATATCAATCGATAAAGTGCGTGTAATGGCATATAAAGTAGTTGGAAAAATCAAAGCTATTCGTATCAGTGTTGTTCTACATTTGACACATACTGTTAATTTGTCTGTTACTGTTACATTTGACACATACTGTTAATTACACCATTTGAAATTAAATTTCGTGCTTTGCTCCATAAGAAAAGAAAAGACCTGTACTAAAGGTATTGACTAAGATCATTTTTGAACACGTAAAAATATTACAGTTGTTTGTTTATTTTCATGTCATAGGCCCAGAACTGTTTTCTTTGTTAGGCTCAACATATGATGATTTGTTTGTTTTTTTCTTTCAATTTTCGTTCTTTTTTCTACTCATACAATGGTGGTAGCCTTATAATTATAAGTTCTTGACTTTTGCTACTTTCCCTTCAGCCATGTGTTTTATCTTAACTTTTCTTCTGGGTTTCATGTGTTTGATGAAATAAA